TAAAATATAGGTGAGATGGCTCTCAGTTCTGCATTCTTCCCCTTACCTTACACACAGACCAGAACAGATTTTGAGGTATTAGGAGAAGAGGTGCTTCAGCTGTCTGATACGTTATAGTTTTGTCTTACATAGTAATGCAATGGCCTATGTTCCCTTAGGAGCTCCCAGTAGTGGAGTCCTGGAAACATGTAGTCTTTGTAAGCATGTAGTAATTTTATTTTACATGATTTGGCCCACAATTAGATTATAATATTATTTTAGAGAAGACACACATACACACACGTGTGGTTATTCAGGGGTTTTTTTTTTTTGAGATTACGTGAGAAGTGTAATATCTTATTTGTATTTTGAGAAAAACATATTGGCAACTTCCACAACCAATCTCCATATAGGTGAATTATCCTAAGAATAGTATTACAATGTTATAGTCAGTTCTTTTGGTTCTACTACTTTAAATATTTATACTTACATAAATTTGATCATTTTAATTAGAATTTCAAAACTGTATTCAAGTAGAAGGAAAAAAAATCTCATGAACTTTAAAAAATTAGCTATGTTTTAGGGTATTAGATATAAATTCTCCATATTTGCTGTCAAATTAGCTTCAGATAACCCTTGTCCCATCTACTTTACAATGAAAGTTTTCATTTTGTTATGTTGGGTGTCTTAAAAGTGTACTACACAGATTATTCAACTCGTAATGTCTCATTTTAGTTTTGCATTGAATTCATCTTTGTGACAATTACTATAATTTGATTTTCCCCTGCCTTCTGGGTAATAAAGAGGACAGTTTATTTCAAGGAAATATGAATTAAAATAGTGTTGGCTATTAACAAGCTCAGAGAATAAGATTTTTAAATCTTATTTTAGAAGCAGTGGTATCATGTTCAGAAATTTCAAGTGTTTTTTGTTTGTTTTCTCCTTTTCTTTCTTTGTGAAACTCTAGGAATAACTTTAGGAATTTGCAGATGTAGCCAAAATTCTCTCTGGCAAGAAATTTAAATAGAGACATAAATGTATTTTATATATTTTTAATCATGAAGCATTTCTGAATAAACTTGTTTCTTGACTTTTTTTCTTTCACTTTTTGCTGTAAGGTATATGTGTTTGCTAAAGGGAGAGAAAAAGTGGGTGAGAGAATATTAGAAGTCACCCTCCAGGGGTATAGCCATGCCAAAATCCCTTCTCCTCCATTCTCTTCTTGGGATCTCAGGCATGCACGCACACACACCCTCTGAGATTTTTCACGCTGCTGTGTCTAGGATTTGAACCACACAGCCTGCCTTGTGAGATCCAGTGCTTTAATCTCCATACCACCTACTGGCCCAATAGTCCTGATTTTATAGTTAAAAGAAAAAGACCAAACTTTGCTCTTGGTAAATTATTTTTTGCACAGCTCAATAAATAACAGCTCATTGTGTCAATGAAGAAATGGTACTAAATGTAATAATTATCTTAGTATTAGAAAATATGTCTTGACAACTCAGACCTGTTTTTAAAAATAATTTCATATCTAATTGGGATTATATGTAAATTTATTGGTGATAGTTAAGCAGAAATTACATGACTTCTTCTTCTTCTTCTTTTTTTTTTTTAAAAGATAAGCAGAAATTACATGACTTTTTTTTTTTTTGAGAGGTTTTTTCTATAGGGTGTGTGCACTTGCCAGAAAGACAGAAAGAGACAGAGAGACAGAAAGCAAGAAATCAACCCCCAGGGTGGATGGCCATGCCAAAATCCCTTCTCCTCCATTCTCCTCTCGGGATCTTGGGCACACACGCACACACACCCGGCATGAGTTTAAGCCACGGGGTTCTGGACTTGAACCGTGGTTGACTACATGGGAGTCCAGTGACATAGCCTTTAGGCCAACTGCTGATCCCAATGACATCTAATTTTAGACACACAAACGTCATGTTCACTTCTGTAAAATGGAAGAAACAATATTAATCCACTCGACTGATTAATGATGAGATTCAGTTTTATTATGATAGGGTGATTTGTGGAAGTAAAATCATATTAGAAATTACAATAGATGCTCGTCTTTAATTATTTATTGTTAATGTCACTTGTACTGAAGAAAATTACCTTGACAATTTTGCTCATAAAATTAACTTTATTAAATTTTCAGAGAACAGAAATTGATAAAATAGATGTAAATTTGGTGAATTCTCTGGAAAAATTATTGGGATTATATTGGAACTGCTTTTAATATATTTGAGCAGCTTAGGTTGAAATTCCATTATATGAAAGGGATGCACATGAACTTGCTTAACATTGGTTGTAAACTATGTAGAATGCCACAAGTTTATAAAGTTCTATCATGATGTTAAAATGTTACTAGATAGGCTTATCTAGATATGAGCCCACATTTGACATAAACTGGCTTGATGATTGGCCAGCACTGGAATTCCAGTTCCTACACCTACTCTCACTCATCCACCCACATTTGTTGGACAAGTGCCTGGTTAAACAGATGGGACTTGGGCAATCTTCTCAAAACAGGCAGCCTCCACCTTTATGAGCAAAACACTAGATGAAAATAAACTAGATTGTGTTATTGTGCTTCTGGGTATGATCATGTGAGTGGCGGGCTACCATTTATTATTATTGTTGCTTGTGTTGCAAATAACTTTTTCCTTATGAATGAATTGTGAAAATTGGACAACAGATGAAGCCTCAGGAATCTGGAAAACCAATAGATAGGGATATCATTCTCAGTCAAATATGAAAATAAAACATCAGTAGGAGTGCAAAGTGCCATGTGGTTTTATAAAGGCATGTAGCTAAGAATTTAGAACATGTTTGAATTAGCCAGAAGACATGGGCTGATCCTGAAATTACCCTCATCCACAAAGGAGTATGATACCAAGGAGAATTCTCAATGTCTGTCTTCATGCCCCTTCAACATGTTACCACTTCAGTGGCTACAAACCTTGATTTGGGACAGGACTTCAAGTTCTGTATCTGTGTAAATATCTCAGTCTTTCTCTTTGTGAAGTCAGAGTGATTTAGGGACCTGACTGATAGGGTGACAAATGATGTCAGAAGTGAATTTTATTTATGGTTGATGAAGAGCATTGCTATTAGGTCTGTATTTGTTACCAAAGTTCTGAGGGGAAGGCAAGAGCAGTAAAGATGACCCTGTCCCTGGGAGAGTATATGTGACAAAATTTGAGACTCTAACATTGACACATTGAAAGACCTTCAAGGGCATTTGCTCTCCGTGCATTTTCATGATGTCCTCTTTAGCATGCAATAAGCAGTACCGCAATAATTTCAATAATCATCACATATTTAACTTCATGGCAGTATGGATAAGTGATTCTTTTTTTAACTGATTGTATCATTAACATTGTTAGTTGCTCTTCTTAAATTATAGCAATGTGTGGTCTGTAGAAAGTACACTAACATTTGAGTAAGAGACTTCCGTGGGCTGGCAGGTGGCATGGTGGTTAAGGTGTGGGACTCCCACCTGGCTGACCTTGCTTTGAGTCCTGGACCTGGTAGCTTGCTTTCTCACTTTCCCTCTCTCTCTCTCTGGAAAATGATGAAGAGCATTGCTATTAGGTCTGTATTTGTTACCAAAGTTCTGAGGGGAAGGCAAGAGCAGTAAAGATGACCCTGTCCCTGGGAGAGTATATGTGACAAAATTTGAGACTCTAACATTGACACATTGAAAGACCTTCAAGGGCATTTGCTCTCCGTGCATTTTCATGATGTCCTCTTTAGCATGCAATAAGCAGTACCGCAATAATTTCAATAATCATCACATATTTAACTTCATGGCAGTATGGATATGGGCATTTGTTCTTCAAGTGATTCTTTTTTTAATCGATTGTATCATTAACATTGTTAGTTGCTCTTCTTAAATTATAGCAATGTGTGGTCTGTAGAAAGTACACTAACATTTGAGTAAGAGACTTCCGTGGGCTGGCAGGTGGCATGGTGGTTAAGGTGTGGGACTCCCACCTGGCTGACCTTGCTTTGAGTCCTGGACCTGGTAGCTTGCTTTCTCACTTTCCCTCTCTCTCTCTCTGGAAAATAATAATAATAATAATAATAATAATAATAATACATAATATTAAATGAAGTAATTCTTTAAGAAGAAAAGAATTCCTACTCCTCTTTCCTAAATTATTTCTGTAATCTTTTGGTAACTTAGTTTTCTTCATAAAGAAGGGAAACATTGTTGTTATCTACTTTCTTCATATGGCTGCAGGATATCTTTTAGTGGCATGAGATGGTGTATGTTATACATAAGAACACTATGGAAATAAAACAAAGTAAAGTGTACAGTGAATTCTGTTTTCTGGTTGTTTTGTTTATATAAACATAGTCATAAGGTTGTTTAAAACTTCTGTAAAGCCTACAATGAATTTTTTGATAATTTCCCCTCAAAAAAATCCAAATGGAATATGATTTTTTTTTGCTTCTAAAAACACATGGACTAGATTAATGAATCAATAGGTAGAAAATGAAACATCACTGTATACATTTATTTCTCTCCCCCCCCAAAAAAAAGTAAATACAGAAAGTAATATATCTGTTATTATCTGGATTTGGGAGTTACTTCTTACTGCAAAGTATCTTGAGATAGTTTTGTCTGATGGTATTTAATTACCATTAAAAGTTCTTGTTATATTGTCCCTTGAAATAATTGAAATCACCTAAATAAATTTTCCTATCTCTATTTAATAAAATAGGGAATCCAGAAGATCAATTTAAATACAGAATGGAGAATAAAGCTATCTCGATATTTTCTTTTAAATTTCACATTACACAAACAGTTATTGGAAGAGAAAAAAAGATAAAGTCTAAGTGTGAATTGTCAAAATATAAAATAGTAATAAAGGCTGTCTTTATGTGAAAGTACATATTTTGTGTGCATGTTTTTGCATTAGAGACATGATCAGTACCTTCATTTTCTTGAACTACTCTGGCATATTGTATTTTTTATGTATTATTTAATATCTTTTGTTTTCTTTTCTTTTAAATAGCAAATGCCAGTCTTCTTGGAGGAGGAGGTGGTAAGTCCTGAACATTACTTAACTTTTAAAGTATGTTTTTATTACTACACCAACCTTTAGACGTTCAGTAAGTTCTGTGATGCTTTAAAGAGAATTAATTCTGTTGTAATTATAACCACAAAAAAATCTTCCAGAAAATATATAAATATTATAAATATTTATATTTAAAATAGAAATACTTGGGTTTATCTAAATTTTATTATAACTGACTTCAAAATATGCATAACTTGTTTTTTCTTCTTGTCAAACTTTGTATTTCTACCTTTGGGGTAACATATAAGAGCTATAAGCTAGATGTAAACACACATAGCACTTGGCAGTGTCACATTTAATAGGAGTTCTCTAAAAGCAGTACATTTGGAGACCTTGGTTTCTATTTTCACAGTAATGACTTTCTATTGTTCTACGTGGCTATGTAGCCTGAGAGCTTACTTTATCAGCCACTAGCTTTGAAAAAGAAAAAAGTAATTAGTATTGGCACATTGCCCCCTTACTCCCTCTGTCTTCTCCCTGCCCCTCCACTTGGTTAGAGAAGACAAAATGCTCAAAGTGAGATTCTATATAGTACTGGGAATATTTTTGGTACTGAAATCTTGTAACTACGTTTGTGTGTGTGTGTGTGTGTATGCGGTGGTGATGTTGGTTTTTTGTTATGTTTTGTTTTGTTTTAAGACAGGGTCTCACTGTGTCATGAGACTCAATCTCCCAAGTATCTGGGACTGTAGGAGTGCAGAACTGTGCCAGACTCTTTAGGGCTGGTTAGAAATGAACCTGGTGTTCACACATGGCCTCTGCCTGCTAAGCAACTCCTCCAATGCACACTACCGCAGCTGGGGCTGTTTTTTTTCTAGGTTAGGATGATGAAAGTTTTTTTAACCCCACTGCATAAAATATAATAAGGGAGAAAATGCATATAATAGAATAAGATCTTTTCATTATCAGATGCAGGTGGATATTACAGATTTGTTTTTCCTCTCTCTCTTGCTTTCTCTTTTCATATTCTACATAATTAAAGTAAGTAGGGTTAAACAAAGATTTAGGCTTTCAAAAAATTTCCTGGCTTTCATCAGGAGGTCTCAGTATAATTTTTATCTGCAAGTTAAAAATTAAACTATTTTGTTCCTATGTAAGAATTAGCTGGTTTTAAAAACAGAATCTTGAAAATAGGAATATTTGGAAAGAGTTTGAATTAGCTAATGCTATTCATAGTATCAGAGTATTGTGGAAAATGAATATGGAATTTGAAGTTGTCCATATTGGGTGAAGGCTGCATTAAGAGTTACTATGGCACTTGATATCCCTGGACCTTAGATTCCTTATCTGCTCTTTATGCGAGAAACTGAAAGATTGGACGATATAATGGCAGAGATAGTGAATGTAGATATTAGAGACTGTATAGGAGGGGGTGGACAGTGGGGAGTAGGAAGGAGGAGCTCTGGAAAAACAAAACAAAAACCAAAAACATTTAACAGACCCAAGAATGGAAAGTAAACTATTGAGGATGATGTGTATGGCAATATTTTTTACTTACCTGACATGCAATGTATGTATGCTTTGAAAAATCATATTATATGCTATAAAGACACACAATAATGAAATGTAAGTAAAATATATATATATATATAAATGAATATAGGGTTAACTAGTCATAATTACAATTAATTATTATAATGGGCATAATAAATAGCTATGTTTATCATGAAAATTTTAAAAAAGTCTGGTATAGAGATAGTAGGAGATTAATATCTGTATCTTTTCTTTTTCCCTCAATTTTTTAGAAAATTTAAATTGGTAGGACTTTTGTTTGAATTATATTTTTAGAAAGTATTAGGGAAAATTTTTCTTAGGAGTTAGATTTCCAGTAATTTTTCCTCTTTCTATATTCTATACTGTGTGAAGAAAACATTAAAATAAATTGTTTATAGTGCTTATTTTCTTATAAGACATATTAGTAGTTTAAAAGATCTGACTAATACTATTAATAGCAAAAAAGGACATTAAAAGTGAGTAAGTCAGACTATGAAAAACAAATACTGTATGTCCCCGTTCAATGTATATGAGATATCTACACTCTAGGCAGAAATGAAAAGATCTGCAGATGTAATAGTAGGGAGGACAAGTGAAGATACCAGAGACTGTATAGGAGGGGAGTGGAGAGTAGAAGATAGGTAGGGGGGATCAGGAGAAAGAAATACTTAACAGATCTAGAATGTACAGTTCTCTATTGAAAATTATTTTTATGGTAATAGCCTTGATTTGTTTGTCACATCCTGCATGGATACTTTGAAAAACTATATTGTGTGCTATAGGGATGTATAACAACAATGAAATGTGAATAAGAAACCATAAAATAAAAAGAAAAAGAGAAAAAAAATGGAGTCTGCATAAACATGTTAAGCAACAGATTAATAGCTAGACAATTCGTGTATTGCCTTTGATGACTTCTAAAAACTTGACTACTTTTATAAGGGATCTTCACAAAGTACATGGAGGGCTACAGAGTGGCGTAGCAGTAGTGCCACACTCTGCAGTGCTGGACTCATGTGGCAAGATCCCAGCTTTGTGTCCTGAAGCTTCTTAGTACATACCAGGTGTGTGCACATGCATCCATGTGACCATGACCTAGACTGGTTGAGGCTGAGGGTGGATTGGGAGGGCCTGTCTCTCACTGTCTCCTCTCTCATGGAAAAAATGAATTTAAGACAAAAGTTTATGGAAAATTATGAAAAAAAAACCCTGTGCTTGAATTTCAAAATTTTCTTGCAGTAAATTCGTTCTTTAATTCCCTTTATCTACAGACTATTTGGCGTCCCTTTATATTAGTGAAAATCACTTTAGCTGCTCATAACAGAAATCGAGAAAAACAACAAAATAATAGTAATGACTGGATTGTATAGTAATGCCATGATGACATTAAGGACTCAAGCTCTTCCTTTTCTTCCCACTGAGAACATGGCTTTCAAACTAAGGCCAGGGTCTATGACAACTTTTGGCACTCTAGCTTTCAGATAATAGTGCAGGCAAAAGTAAAAAAGGTATGTCCCCAAAGATGAGTTTTCTTTAATTTAGCTGTTCCTAAAATCCTGTATTATCCTGAATTAGATTAAATGTTCATACATGTAGTCTTTTATTCTAGGAAGTAAATGTGCTTCCAGATGTGCTCATAAAAGAAAAAAAAAATCAGTGTATATGGGTTGTCGACAGTCATGATGCATTTTTTTTTTTTTTTTTCCAGACAGACAGAGAAAGACATAGAGACAGAAAGCGAGAAATCACCCCCCAGAGGGGGGATGGTCACGCTGCAATCCCTTCTCTTTCATTCTCCTCTCGGGATCTTGGGCACGCAGGCACATGCGCCCAGCGTGAGTTTTAAGCCACTGGGTCCAGGACGCGGACCGTGGTCAACTACGTGGGAGTCCAGCAACATAGCCATTACGCTAACTGCTGGTTCCCGATGCATTTTCACATAGAAAACCACATCATGACTTTTTCAAAGACCTAATAGAATGGACTGGAGGTACTGGGCCTGTATTTCTTTATGATTCCTCTATCCTGTGTAAGAAGATAATGAATTTTAGCAAGAGTAAGACATTTAGGGATAGGGTAACTCAGTTTTCTATTTATCCAAAGTACATATTCTTTACTCTTTTTGCAAATGGTTGATTTTACCAAATTTGCTATAATTTCTGAATACTAAAATTAACAACTCAACATCATCATAAAGAAAAATTACAAGTATTTAAAATGGTTGTAATTTTTTTCATTAAAGAAGTTCATTGGCAGGTATAAATTCATTTATATACTTCTGGGTATATGAAAATTGCTCTAAAATTCTTGTATGGTTTTTGGAAAGCCACATTTAAGAATTTAATTTAAGTAATATTTTGTTTTTACCTTCTCTGAACTACTTTTTTAAAACTGATTTTTGACCTTCTGATTCAATGATCAATGTTTTAATCCTTTCATTCATATTTATAGAGTAACAGTGAGTAATTACTCAGTAAGGAGCAATCAAATTGATGTAATTCTCTTGGATTAAACTGACAATTACTTTTATTGACTTCAATTAATATCCCCTCAGAGGCCTTAAAAGAGAATTTGATTGAGTAAACAATTTCATCAAGAAAATCTGGTGCCATATACATAAATAATGATAATAATAAATGCCATTATTTCCAGTCCTCCAGAAGGCTTCCTTCAAATCCTACATAAGTAGAAGTTGATTGTGAAATTTTGACAAAATTAGTGTATACAAAATTTTATTATTTGTAGACCTTAGCACTTTGTCACTCTTTTCTGGGTGCTTGTAACAGAAGAGAGGTCTCTTTTAATAATGGCCATTTGCCATCCTTTCAGTTACAATTTTAAAGTGAGAGAATTACTTTACATTGGTGTGAATTTTCATCTTTGAGCCTAGAGATCAATCTTTCTGTGAATTTAATGTCACTGAATGCAGTTCATTGCAGTAAACACAGGACTGTGGCGACATCTACTCCTTCAGTACAGTTTAGGTGATTGGCAAATTGATCGTTTCTTTCTGTGGTTCCTCGATATGTTAAAAGCAAGGACAGATATATACCAATTTCTCTCTTTTTTTAAATTGAGAGAAGGCATGTCTGCTCTCCAGAGAAATGTAGAGAGAGGAAAAGGGGGAAAGTACCCATTAATGGGGCGTGGTCCTGTCACAGTTTCTTCTCCTCATTTCTCCATTCTGACAGGACTTTAGACATGCATGCTCATACTCCTGGAGGGTATTTCAAGATGCCAGGGCCAGGATTCAAACGAGCTGGCCATTTGGGATCTGGCTCCCGTAAGCCTAGGCCACCAGGCTGGCCCTACAGTGATTTCTTAAATAAGTCTATAGTGCCTGGATTCTATGATACCTTCTGGGAAGCCTTTACATTAATGTTAACAGCAACAGCAACAAAAGGAAAACTTTGAAGTTCTATTAGTTTTGTTTACAAGCTTTTCACCGTTGTTTCAGAACTACTGTGCATAGC